ATTACACACGCATTTGCCTTGGCATCACATATTCTTCCTCCTGCTGAAACACCGCTGGAGCTTGACCTAAGCGGATATTCTTTGACGAATGGAACAAAACCATCTCGGATACGACGTTGTGGTTCTTCGATGTTCCGAAAAGTTTCTATTATATGATTCAGAGGACAAGAAACAAAACCAAAAATTATTACGGTTAGACCGGAATCAATCCAACAAACCGAACGCAACCGGTCAAGGATTTCATCCATTCCGGTTTGTCTCCTATGTATTTATTATATAATATTCCACAACGTTCATCCCAACAACTGCATTCGGAGCTATACGGTTTTCCTTGACTTGACTTCAAACCTAATTTGGTTAGAAATGTCTTGACCGATTCCTCCACATCAGTTTCTACTTTCTAGTATCACAGCAATTGTTAGAAGAAATAACTAATATCAAATGGATACAAAAAATAAATTACATATTTGTTATAGAGTAACATATTGTAATTTTCCCTTTGTATATAGGAATATGAAATGGATTTACATCATCAATACCGGTTCAAACGATACGACCAAAGCCCAGCTGACCAAGATTCTACCTAATCAATATATATATATGCATGCTGCTTCTAATATATGTCACCAAAAAAAAGATTCACTGACCCAAAACCCAATACATATAGCTACGTACATATATAGTTTCCCATTAGGTAGCGAGAGCTCTGTAACGCATCCGACCAAAATCTCCACACCTTGTCCTAAACACGAAAGAGTCGTCTCCTGGTCAATGGCATCTTCCTCGGCAATTGGACCGCAGCCGCCGCAGCATCAAGTGTTCATCTGTTTCCGGGGAGTCGATGTGCGGTATGGCTTCCAGAGCTTCTTGAGGGCAGCCCTGAAAAGGGGAAGAATAAAGGTGGCAGCGGATGTGGACGCGGTGAGGGGGCAACCCATCTACGAAAACCTATTAAAGATGATTAAAGGGTCGAGGATCGCGGTAGTGATCTTCTCAGAGAACTTCTCGGATTCGGAGTGGTGCTTGGGGGAGCTGGTGGAGATCAAGAAGAGAATGGATCTCGGGAAGATGAAAACTCTTCCCATCTTCTTCAGGGTGAAGCCGGACGACGTCCAAAATGCCACGGGAAGGTTCGGCGACATTCTCCTGCGGCGGGAGAATGACAAACGGAGGGAGGCCAAGGGAAATGCCGAGGCCTCTCAGCTTACGTCGGCCAAGATCGACCAGTGGAGAGACGCTTTGGAGTCCGTTTCCGACATCATGGGTTTGACTTGTGCAAAGGACAGGTACTGCCCTTTTACTTGTTTATATATGGAAGGTGATGCTGTCTTCTAACTATAAACATCTTCATATCACTTTTTTTTTTTTTTTTGGTACGATGGGAAACCCCTATCCTACAACCCTTCGGGTCGGACACCGGACACCGCAACGCCTATCAGCCCATAGGCCGGACGAGAACGGCATCAGGACAGCATCGCGGACCTGAGAAAACCCACCGCCCTACGCAGTAGCCGGCAAACCACGCAGAGCAGGTAAACCAGCTTCGTAAAGCTGACCGGCTCAAGGGTTTGTTAGGACATTTGTTTTACCACAGCCGACTTTTTTTTAACGGTAAACAGTAATAAAGTTTTAACTTGTGTTATAATAAATGTTTGCATGATAGGGAAGTAATAATTTCAATGAAAATACAGAATATGGGAAAATAACGTTAGGTTTTAAGACGATTCGACGTGATCGCTTTCTCGTCGGCCCATTTTCATTATGGGTGGGCCTCTATGAATTATGTTATTATTACGGGTTTTTTACAAGCCCGTTATATATATTGCAACTTCCATGTATTATTTAAAGTTGCTTCCCATATAATATTACAGTTTTCACATATTTATTTCGCAATTAATAATTATTAATTACCATAACAAATCCATCGATAATAAAACTATAAAGAAGGACAAAAATCATAGGAAGTAATTTATTAATAAATTTTTTTAATGATATATCACGGACAGAAACACGCGTGTGTAAGTTGTCATTTTTCATTTAAAACACAACTTTTTTATGACAATTTTGTATAATAATATTATTCCTGTTTGTGGAGAGAGAGAGAGAGAGAGAGAGAGAGAGAGAGAGAGAGAGAGAGAGAGAGAGAGAGGGAGAGAGAAGTGGAGGAGGGGGACCAGAGATCCAATTTGTATGAGCAAGTTGCAATATGCTTAATTTGTTCACATTTAAAAAATGAATAATTATTGGACGGTTGATAAACTATTTTATAATTACGTATGAAAATGTCAATATAGAATCTCATCAAATAATTATGCGTAAGTTTAACAAACAAACTATATATGAAAGGTTTTGGTGGACCAACATCCGAATAATTCAGTAATTTGACAAAATGCCATATTCCAAATTCCAGCGTTATTGTCTGAAGAGGGAGAGAATGATCCAATTTATATGATTCGGTTCGGTATTTATCACGTAATAAGTTTTGTTTATCTATGGTTGCATGGTCAATTTATTTCACAGGCCATGTATTTCTAATGTCCATTATCAATTTAATATGTATACACAAATAAAAAATAAATAAATATAAGCAAAATCTGATAAAACTTAGTTGGACGAAATAGGACCGCACCAAATGGAGGAATATATGCAATTGTCGTAATGATCAGTCGGGTCATTTTGTCGATACACACACACACACATATATACATACATTAAAATAAGAATATGAATAAGAATTTAACTAAAAAAATAGAATATGAATAAGAATAAGGGAGAGGAGGGTTTTTTCCAAGACTCTATCATGTCAATGTTGCGAAAGGAATAAGATGCCTAATTGAGTTGGACTTTTCAGTCGGTCAAGATTCGAATTAATCCTAAGTTGTCGGGAAAAAGCACTAGATATTATTATTATTATTATTATTACTTTTATTGTAATAAAAAAATTAAAGTCAGCGCCATTTTAACATTAAAAACAGGAACGGATAACGGATATCCACCTCGAATTTGCACTGCTTGAAACACTAATCACGATCCTAACTTGAGAAATTAATGGTGTTAGATTTCATGCCAGATGGTAATACTATAGTTAGGTAGCACTTTAGACATCAAGTAAAGGGTGTTTGATGATGCATGGTGTAATATTCATAATCGTGGTTAAGGAAAAATAAAATCACAACGGTCAAGATAACAATTTTATAATCATTGTTTTTACTTATAATACTTGTATTCCTCGCATTTGGATCGTCGGTAGTTTTGATATTATATTTCACATTTGAATTAGATCGAATAAGCAAACCTACGTGAACCCTTTTGTGATAATCCAAACTTTAATGTCTTCTTATATCAAAGTATTTACATCCAACTATAGTTTTGACGCCTTGTATATATACATTACACACACAGAATCAAACTGGACCTCATATATATATATGACATATAGCATTCGAATCATGCGGTCATCAATTCCACGGTTGAAACGCGTTATTGCAAGAAGATCCGAAGGAGGACGCAAACGCGAATCCGTGACCAGCGTTCTGGGGAGGAAAGAGGTGGTCGAGCGAGTCGGCGGCCGTGGCGGCGGAAGAGGAATAGGAGTAACTGTTGTGGTCGTGGTCAGGGACATTGACAGTGGTGATGTCGTGAATGCTGGATCGGCGTTTGTCTTTGCCGCCAGCGAGTTGTCGGATGAAGTACTTCTGAGCGTGAGACGCCACCTGAGTCGGCGTCCGAGTCGTCACGAAATTTCTTGATATGTTCCTCCAGTCCCCTTTTCCATACTTCTTCAGACCCATCAGAAATCTCCTGCAATTATATATATACAATCATTCTCAATGTTTCATGAAAATCTTATCGGATGAATCCACACAAAATAACCAAAAAGATGCTAAATTTTGCAAAAACAACCATCAGAACTCAAAGAATTGTGTCGATTAAGCAGTTCTACACTCAAAATTCATAGAAATTAGCAGGATTCTGACAAGAATTTAGCAGATCAGTTGGTGGGTATCTAACAGCAATGGCAAAGGTCGTGTCTTTGACACTGAATACCTGTGTTCTTCCTCTGTCCAAGGAATCCCCTTCTTCCGCTCTTTCTCCGTCGGCCTCAAAGAAGCCGCCGACGAACATCTCTTGCCGCCGAAGACGAAATCGCCGCCGGAGAATCGCCAGCTCTGCAGCTCGAAGCAGCTGCCGCCGTCCTCGGAGGCGGCGTAACCAGGGAGGGGGATGAGCCCGGCCTCGATATCGCTGACGTCATCCTCGAGCTCTTTGTAGCGTCTGATGACGTCAGCGACGGTCTTGCCGGGGACAGCGGCGGCGATTTTGAGCCAGCGGTCGGGGTAGTCGTCCTTGTCGTCGTAAAAGGCCAAGGCTTTCTCGAAGCATTTGTCCTCCTCCGGCGTCCAAACAGTCTGTTTCGTCTCCTGGAACAGCCAATTCGTTGCCGGAAATTGCGCCGCCGGTGGAAGAATCTCGATCCCTCTGTTCGCCATATCGGCTTTTCTTCGTTTTCCTTTCCTTTTCCCGACCAAACCCAGAAAACAGTAAACAGAGATATCAGTCTCTCTCTCTATGTGGGAGAGAGAGATTCGTTTTCCTTTCCTTTTCCCGACCAAACCCAGAAAACAGTAAACAGAGATATCAGTCTCTCTCTCTATGTGGGAGAGAGAGAGAGAGAGAGAGCGCTTTAGTATGGAAGAATCGCTTTTCGATTGAATTGGGGACCTTATTTTCGTTCCTAACAACCTAGAAAAGGATGCGACTTTTCATAATTTTCTGGGGAAAATTATTACAGAGAGGAGAGAGAGAGAGAGAGAGAAAGTGGATCTCAAGGTGTGACTGTCTTTAATGGCGCCAAGTGATAAACCCTAGAATCCTGGTTGAGCAGTAAAAAATCACTTTGCGATGAAATCTAAATTCATACAGTTTATAGTTTTACCAGAAAAAAAAGGGTTAAATTCAAACATGCAAAAGAAATTTAAAAAGGGAAACCAACGTCGGGATGAAAGAAGGGACAGGAAGGACCCATGGCCATGGGGGAGAGAGAGAGAAACAGGGTTTTGACAAGAATGAATAATTCTGCGATTATTTTTCAATGGTAAAGAAGAAAGAGCAAGTAGAAATACGACACACACAACCCAAGAATTGTCTCAATTCAAATGATGTCTTAATTACTCCAGATTGCCATAACCATTTCATGATCATTTTATTTTATTTTTTAATCAAGGTCTCGATTTGTTCCTCTTTTTTTTTTTTTAATGAAATCGATTCCAAAAGTTTCAATTCTACAAAAAAAAAAAGGAGGTTTACATATAAGGGGATTTGATTCATCAATGCACGTGTCTAATATCCAAAGGTTCGACTTCGACCGACTTTTTATATTAGTGTTTTATTTTTTTGTTGTCAAATAAATTGTAGCCAATCAGATTGAGACCCCGAAAATGACTGATTATGGTTTGGCCGGTTGCTCATTTGTTCTTTAGTACACCGGTTTTCATTTATTTGTATGGCAGCCGATATAATCTTGAATACAAATGCCGCGTATATATATACATATATATTGATATACACACATCAGTTATCATATTAAAATAAAATAAAAATTGTATTCTAATAGATATAAATTTTGTAAAATAATGTTTCTAAATTTTAGAATATATATGCTATACCGCTTCATTTACGTAATAAAAAAAATAGTTCTCGTAATGGGTTAGGTGACGGAAAATACACCCAAAAAAAAAAAGATGGTTTGGATCGCAAGTGTATAGTTATAAAATTATTTTTATGTATAAAAAATATGCTTTGTATATTATAGCAAATCAGTTGGTTGCTTTCATATTTGTGAAAAGTTGTATAATAATGTCACACCACCTAATGCTGACGGTACCACAATTCCACTTCCCACCAATTATGTGATTTTGCAATTTTTTCTAATCCAATAGCATTGCATACATCAATATATATATATATATATATATATATATAGTTGTGTTTTTCCCACCTCAACATCTTTAATCTGTTAACCTATGTATACACATACACACACACATATATATATATATATATGTGTACTGGATAAAAAATAAAATTATATTTTAGTAAATAAAAAAAATCACACTACAAAATACGTCCATAAAGCCAAATCAAACACCGCATAATATCCCTTTTTCTTCTTTATAAATTTCAGCCTTTTTTAATTATTTAAGTCTATTGAGTAATTTTTAGAGAAAGAAAAAACAAACCATTAATATTTTACACACACACACACACACGTCTTCATTATTACAAGACACATTCAACATTTAAATCGAATCTAACAAATTAGGCCTATATATTATATGAAAAGAAAACATGAGAAAATCTGTTAAAATTCATTAGAGTAAAAAACGGAAATTAAGTACTCTATTTACATATATATTAAAGTCAATTCCACTATGAATAGGTGCATTAAATTATTTTTTTTAGATGGAAATGTTTTGCTTCGCCAAGTAAAAAAAAATAGAGAAATTTATTTGGAATAAAAAAAAATAAGAAATATTTTGAAATGGAAAACATGATTAAAAGGAGCAATAAGAGAATCTAAGGCAAAATCGAGTGTCACATGGACACCACACCACACAAAGTGACTTTGTGAATGTCACGAGTGGATTTGTTACTTTGCTTGGAGCAGACAGAAGTGGCTGTCGCCGGAGTGCGACTTCCTCCACGTTTCCATATTTAGAAAGATTCTCTTGCTGTTACTCTCCTCTCTCTCCTCTCATTTTCTCATCTTATAATTATTTATTCATTTTGTAACTTATTTCCCTTCATTTGTTTTCATTTTCTTAAAAAAAAAATCGATTTTTATTTAAAAGTGACGTCGCACCTACTCTCAATCGAATTTATCATTGATTACAATTTTTTTTAGTTTGTTGGATCATTTTCCGGGTTTAACCTTGTTTTTTTTAAAAAATTATGAACAGTATGAAGATTATAATATATGTCAGATCAATATGGGACTTAACGAATTTGATGTATATCACTTACAAATACATATATATGTATGTATGTATTATTGTGATGTAATCTATTTGACTACTTTTATAGGTTAAAAAAATAAGGGTATTTAAAATAATTAAAACGTACAAACTTAACAAAACAAAATGCAAATATTGTGAAGAGAACCAATTTATCATATCATATTACCATTGACCAAATTAAAGTAGAATTAGAGATGCTTTGCAATAATAGCAAGGGATGTTATTGTTAGATATTAGCCATTACTTCACATTATATATATATAATTAATGTGATACTTTTCAAGTAAAAAAAAAAAGAGTGAGGGAATTATTGGGGTTACAGGAGGTGCTTGAGCAAAAATTAAATATTGAGCAATTGTGTACCAAATAACAAGTCATGGGACCAAAAAATTTGTTCTTGTTCTTTCATTGGAGAATTTCAGAACTGTCCATACAATGATTTTTTTATTTATTACTAGAACATGCTTGAGCAAAAATTTAAAAAAAAAATGAAAATCGAAGTGGTATAAAAAAATAACAAAAAGAATTGTATGATTGGAAATTGGAATCTAACATTTAGGAAGATCACTTGGAGGGGGCAAAATGGATTGATTTGGGCCATTTCCATCCTCCACTAAGAAAGCCATCTTTAAGCCCCACGACGTGTGCACCTCCAAATGGCAATGCAAGAACCATACCCCTGCACCCATTCATTCAAACATTTTTAATTTTAATTTTAATTTTCAATTTTCAATTTTAGCATTTTTCTATAGACAATTAATTGTTAGGTTCCTTCATGTATTCTAACGTTAATATTATTATATATAGTATGCAATATGATAAGATTTTATGAAGAACGCTCCATGCGAATGCAGCGCCGCATGTATATATGGATGAATATGTGAACCTGGATTGTCTGCTCGGAATCGGATCGCGACCCAACCACCGGACGGTACGCTGACGGTGTTCCTCTCCACCGGATCCACAAGGTTGAACTTTTTCGCATCGGATTTCGCATTATAGTTCCCTGATCCACGCCCCACCACGAAGAAATTGTACCCGTGCAGATGAATCGGATGGCTTTCCGGCGATATAACCCCGGTATCTTGCAACACGACTTGCACCCTCGAGTTGTAGGGAAGCTTGTAAACCTTCGTGGCCTTCATCGTGGCCAAATTGGACGGCGGTTTTCCGGTGAAATCGAAAGCGTGATGTGGCTTTCCGGGGAAGTCGGTGGTGTAAACTCCGGAGAGGTTGAAGTAATGCGCCTGAAGCAAAGCCGTTGTGGGCATTTTGAAGGTTACGTTGTTGATTCCGGCGACGACTCTGGTCCCGTTGCCGGCTTTGCAGCTGTGGCAACGGTTGATCCCCAATCCGACGGCGAATAACAGATCGTGGTCCACGGTGGCCGGAACATTCGCCGGAAAATTCTTGGAGTTGAGGCTGCGGAGGGAGCCGATGAAGGAGTTGGCGACTGAGGTGGCGTTGCGAGGCGGAGGGGAGGTGAGGGAAGTGGGGGCAGCGGAGAGGGTTCCGGAGTAATGGACGGTGGCGGTGGCGGTGCGGTTGTCGACGGCGACTGCGGCGGCGTCCTGGAAAGGAGAGGCGGCAATGAGGTATTTCCCGCTGGTACGGACGGCGGAGACGAGGGCGGTGGTGGTTTGGCCGGGGGCGATGAGGATAGTGTCGGTGGAGAAAGGCTTCACGTAGACGGCGTCGACCTCCACGACGGTGAAGCGGTGGCCGGCGATCTTGAAGAACAGCTCCTCGTTCATGGCCGCGTTTATTAGCCGTAGCATGTACGTTTTCCCGGTTTCCACCGATAATTTGAATCCTCCTGTTTTTTTTCAATAAAAAAATAATTATAGATTTATTTGAGAATATAGAAACAAAAATTGGGAAAGAGAAAGTAGTAGTAATTTACCTTGGGAGGGGCAAGTAGAGACCGGACCGGGATGACCATTGATGATGTGGGCATCAGAGACATTGGGCGCTAAACCGGATTTCAATGCTTCATTAATCACTGCTTCTGTGTCAGATTTCCACCATTCACCTATTCATTTCACATATCCAAAACCATTAGAATTTATAATAATGATATTATAAGCATATATATACATATATTATAAAGGTTCTGGTGTTTGACCTAGCATGATGACTTCTTCTCTGTGGGGTTTAGGGAAAGGGTAAGGCAAGCCTGGCTTGGGCAAAATGACAATGGCGCCGTGAACAGTGGCTCGTAGCCAGAGGATATGGGCGTGCCACCAGAGCGTGCCACGTTGGCCCGTGACCGTGAAGTTGTAAACGTAGTTCTGACCCGGCCTGATCGGACATTGGGTTATGTATGCCGGTCCATCCGCCCAACCGGTTCTCAGTTGCCTTATCCCATGCCTTGAAAAAAAATATAAAATGTGAAATTGAGGGACCGTTTTGTAAAATCCTAAATTATGGGGAGAAATGTTTGATGTTTTGAAACTATTGGGTTCTCTCTCTCTCTCACCAGTGGATAGAGACGTTGTACTTGACGTTGTTCACGACATTGACGAGAATTGTATCGTCTTCCCTGGCGTAGATCGTGGGCCCCGGGAACTTCCCATTAACGGTGACGATTTGCTTTGTTGAACAAAGCCTCGTCATTTGCTTCGTCACCACCTGTATTTTTTTTAAAATTACATTTACGAACCTTATGTTCATAATGTCACATTTTCACCCCCAAAAATCACACAGGTTCCTACCTAGTCCAATATATACCCCGTTCACATCACAAACAAAATAATAATAACAAATAGTAATCAAAGTCGTTACGTTGTATCTTTCTGAGATGTGTATGTTTCGGTATGGTAGAAGAAAAAACAACATGACAGACTTACGTTGAATGTGTATTTGCGAACATCGCCTTGAACCGTGACGGGGAGGATGTAAAGTGCAATAAGAACCAAAAGACGAACCGGAAATTCCATAATTGCCTCTTAACGTTTCGATTAGAAAACTTTCTATGAATTTGCAAATGCTGATGCAATGGTTCTTGATATGAATGGGCTTATAAAGAGAGGCGATGAGGGAGCTGATACGGCGGCGTTTGTTGGCTATTTGGGTTTGGTGATGGATACAATAGAAAGCTTAGAAATAAAGAATTTGTTATGAACAAACAAAGCATTTGGTTCGTAGGTTGGAACCACATTTGTAGGTTGGATTTTTTGTCTCTTCAAATCCCTTTTCACCTCTTCTATTGCTTCAGATGGATGACAATCTCCCTCACTTACAGAAAAAAAAATCATTTTGAGTTTGATTTTATATATATATGAAATACTTTCATAAATGTATATACTAGATCATTGATTCTAATAATCATATAGAAAAAAACTCGAAAATGTTATTTCGTAAAGAGAAGGGTGAAAAATGGTTGAGAAATAACTTTCATGGAATCTAATTGGACGATAACACCAAACAAAGGCATGATTAAATTTGTTGGGAAGCAATAACTGAACTAATCCCTTTGGTCCGAATTATAAGATTAGTCAAGCCATCAATCGAGTGATTGTGAGCGATGATGAAAAGGAGAAGACATGAAAACAGGGCAAGCTGCCCAGCGAATTCACACACTTTGATATACTCGGGACGAGGCAGAGGGTTTCAAATACGAGAAAATGATGCAGCAAGGATACCTATGTTTCATATCCGGTTTGAATTGGCTTAGTCCGGTTTAATCTTCAAAATGGGATATGACAATGGAAATAATAATTTTGCTAGGAACAAAATGTCCGAATGGTCTATTCTGATTTTCAGTGCATCTTAATTCGTTAGTTGGATTTTCGCATTCTTGCCATTTTTCGAGATTTTCAAAACTTTTTTTTTTTGTTAATTCTCTTGTGAAATATTTTTGAATTTAGTAAAATTATCAATCGGATATCTTCGTCATGCATTTTATTTTCGATTTGGCCCACTTTCCATTTTCTTCGATTCGATTTGGCGTGTTTTGACTCGATGCTCTTAAACTGGATGAAAATTGATCCTTAAAAAGTAGAAGGCTCCACCTGTAACAATCTATTAAATATAGGGATTTCCATGTAAATCTTAAAAAATTCAAATCCTTTTGGATAATGCTTAAAATATAGTAGAACGAGAGGTTGCCCTGTAATCAACCCTCTCCAGAGGCGAAAGAACGAACCCAAAAAGAAAAGATGAACACGCTGCAAGCAATTCAGACAACCTTAACACCATACTTCCATGTTTCGCTCGCCACAAGAAGACACTCTACTCCTAGAAACCCATTTCTCTGTCTCTCCAAACCAGCTGATTCAGAGTCAGATTCAGATTCCGATGCTTCAAAGCCCGAAGGCGATACTCGAAAGCAAGAACTCCTCGCCAGGATCGCCATGCTTCAAGCTTCCAAGGTCCGTCTCACGGACTACTTGGACGAACGGTCTGCTTATCTTACAAAGTTTGCAGAAGAAGCCAACGCTGAGTTCGACAAGATTGGAGAAGACGCCATGAAGGACCTTGACGACGCAAGCTCAAGGGTTTGTATCTGTAACCAGCTAATAATCATGGGTTGAGATCAAAATTTCGAAAAGATTGAAACTTTGTTGTTGTTACACGCCTGTTCTAGAACTGTAGATTTACGTAGCTAGTGTGTCTAGTTGAGTACAAGAGATACTGACCTGACGTTTTCTGGGGGTGATTAAACAGATAATGGAGAGTATCGAGTCTCAAATGCAAGCTTTCGAGGAATCTGCAGAGATTAACAGAATAGAGATAGAGGAGAGTGAGAATATTTTGGCTGCGTTCGAGGATAAAATCGAGAAAGACAGGAATGAAGGACTGTTCTTTAAGAGTTTAGGCGAGAAAAAACCTGTGGACAAAGCCAAAGCTAAGGAAGAGACTGAAAAAATTAGCAACGTTACGAAAGAAAGCGCAGGATCAAAAACAAGAAGAAACATTTACCTCGGGTTGATCGGGATTATAGTTCTCGCGATTGCAGATTCGTTCATTTCTTCACCCGATTGGAGAAAAGTAGCAATTCTCGGAGCAATTCTTGTTCCACTGCTCACTCAGTTCGTCTATGAGCAGACACTGTTATCAGAGGAAGCAGAGAAACAAAAAACCAACAAGGAGTGAGAGATGCTACTGTAGGCTCTATGTGATTTCAGTGAATGAGATATAGCTTGAGATTATAGACCCAAATGGGAGCTCATCACTTGGGTTTGATACGTCAAGCTACATTTGCTTTTGCACCAGTGAACATTAGATCTCGGCGATGTTACTGCAATCGCCCAGATCAAGGTTTGCCACCTAGATGCTTGTGACACTTCAAACGATCATCATATTTGAAATATAATGATGTGTAATGATAGCTAATTTACATGTACATCAACTTATTTCAAGCAAAAATGGTATCTTTTATACACAATAGATGTTTCTAGACTTGGTGACGCTGCCTCGAGCTATCAATGTCCTCCTAAATGCAGAAGAATGAGTGCAACTCAATGAAAGAAACGAAAATCGCCACATAGAGATTCTCGGTTCAGTTTCAGCGCGATGGAATGAGAACCGCAAAGAAATGACTTTCAATTGAACTGCAATTCAGAAGATATGTTGTCTATCTACCCAGATCCTTTTTTACTTACCATGTTTAACCGCAGATCACCTTTAGACGAAACGTAGCTCTGGTCCAAAACTTGAAGCAACCATCAAATTTCCAGCATTCGCTCAAGCCGTTAATCATATGATGTTGTAAGTGGGGTCACATTGGATAAACGGAAGAGTCCTCCAACAGCTTCCTCCATAACTCTATCGCGTTTTCATACTCTTTCTTCTTCAGTAACGCATCGATCAACATATTCTAATACGCAACATCAGGTGCCACTCTTGGTTCAGACATTTCATCGAACACTTCTAATGCGTCATTCAAGTCCCCAGCTTTTGCAAGATCGAGGATCATGGTACTGTAACTATACACATCAGGTTCCAACCCCTCTTTCCATATCCCATTTTTTTTTGCCACCGCGAACGTTTCGAGAAGAGAATTGTACGATCGAATCCCGGGCTGCACCCTCAAGTCTCGCTCATTCGCGGGAAAACATCCATGGCTTGATCAGGCATGGAGTTTTTGGAATAGATTTTTGTAAGCGTAAAGGCTGCATACATCTTCAGGGCGCGGGCCCGAATGAGATCGACTATCTGACCCACATGGAACACCATCCGCACATCCGCGAGACGCCGGAGAATGCGGTGGAAGAAGGCCGCGGAGCGTTTTTTTACCTCGATGGCACCGGTATTGCCGAATGATCTCCGGCAACAGGTAGAGATTTCCGACGAAGTATTTGAATTTCCCGGCGAAGAGAGAGGAAATGGAAGGGCAAGGGAAAGAAGGGAAGAGTACGAGCGAGTCTATGACTCGCACGCTCCATATCTCTACACTTACAAGCCCAAAACAATACGACAAATACAAATTTAAGAATAAAGATTGCACTTAAAAGCCCAAAATTTTACTGCCACTAATTGTATTTGGACCGACCAAATTACAACTAATATAATTCTTATTGAAATTGGGTTTTCACCAAAGAGAATAGACAAGTACAACAATTCATTCGTTCGAGTAAAACCTCAACAAAAAAAAACCCAATTACGCCAAAGACCAAACGAAAAAAACCCCAAGATGAAACAACTAAAACAGGTGAAGAACGGCTAATCAGGAATTTGATCAATACAGTCTCATAACCCTCTTAGCAATGGAGTGGCCGTGACTATTAGCCCTGACCGCCGTCTTCTCCCACCCCCCGCCGCCTCCCCCGGCCGATCTCCGGCTACCCTTCATCGGCGTCAAGTAAAACCTCAACATCCCGTTCTCACCATCCTTTCCTGAATACCTCGAACTTCTGTTCCTCTCCAACCATCCTCCGTTACCCTTCCTCCAACTCACGCTGCTGTTGCTTCTCTTCAGCTTCTGATCGGTAAAGCCCTCTCCTCCTCCTCCTCCACTGTTTCTCAACTCCGGCCATGATTCCGACAGCGACCTGCTGTATCTGTCATCTTCCTCCTCGTACTTTGTTACGCTCTT